TATATATATGGCTAGGTTATAATGTGGACAACAAGTATTGTGTGGTCGTAGGAACGATTCTGAAGCAATAGATGAAAAGATTAAATAACTATGATTTGAGGGCTTATGATAATACAATGGAATAACATGTACCATATAATAACACAGATTTCATTGTAAGATATTTTAGCCAATTAAACTAGATTTTAAAAAGGGAAATTCGGATTTTATGGGATAATTGATTCTATTAAATTTAAAAATATGATTTATAGATGATAATGATTTTTTTAATTCAGACATTCTGAAAAAATATGTTAATAAGTATGGTGTGCATTCCGAAAGAATATGCTTATAAATATGAAATCTTTTTTTTTTTTTCAAAAAAACTCATTCTTGGCAGAATTTAGTAAACAAAAGCATTCTTTAACTTAATAACATGTCATATAATTACATTTTATGAATTATTCTACACCAAAAGACTAAAAAATCTTACAAAGAATAACAATTTCTATTTTGCATTCTTAAAGAATGATATACAAAAAATCATTCTTGAAGTAAAATACATGAAAAAATAAGAATATGTTGATTTTTCATGAAGTTGAAAGCAGCGAATTCCATTGTCTTCTTTTTCTTATCTCACGTGTTCATTGAGAGCATCAAAACACATTTGTTCTTGGATTCTCGAATGTCGAACTATTGTTATGTATGAAATCATTTTGGCTTCTTGAATGTCGATATATTTGGTATTTTAGAATCAATCTTGGATTCTTTTATCATTCTTGGCTTTATACGATTGCCAAACAAATATCAATAATATCAACATCAACTTTATTCAACATTTTAAATTGCAACCCAAATCTTATGACAAATAAAAAAAAACAAAATTCACGAATTACTACTCAGATCTTCCTAAACATAATGCATACCATATTGTTTTTGTTATAAGATATATTCTGATAAAATGATTTGATTTATATTCTAAGAGAATGACCATGTTTAATTTTTGTTTTCACCATTAATAGATCGTTAACCTACAATACTATTCTAAAATAATGATGTAAATTCTAATAGAATGATGTATATTCTAACATAATAGGTATATGTTCTTTTAGCAAAACATAATAGGTATATGTTCTTTTAGCAAAACTATTGACGATATTAAAAGTTGAATAACTATAATAAAATAAGTTACAAACTTTTTTCAATTCTATTACCTATTCAAACTTGTTCGTTTGATTCATAAAGCAATTAATGTAACCTTGTTCCTAAAAAAATTGATGTAACTAGTAATATACACAAAAACCAACTCCAGTCCGCAAGAATAGAATGAAAAAATTGACAAAATTTGATAACTTAGAGTTACCTATCCTATGCAACCCTTGGCCCATAAAGGTAATCATATTTGCAAATGCTATTATGAATGCATTATGAAAAGGCAATTACATGAAAGAAAAAATACTTACGTGAACGAATATCTTCGAGAATGAGAGGCAAGAACGAACATCACAATCTTCAACCCACCCATAACGAAATCCAACGAGAGAAATCTATGATGGGGGAGAACGACTGTTAATATAAAGAGGGGGGATAGAGTTAGGGTTAGAAGAAGTAAACGTAATTAACATGATTATAGGAAATAAATATGGAAGTTATTTTATCTTTAAATCAAATTACTAAACCACCCTTATTTATTTAATTAATAGTTTATTTTTTTCTTGAATTTTTATTGGTTCTTACATCCACACAATATTTGTTCATCCACATATGAACCTAGTTCTCTCTCTCTCTCTCTCTCTCTCTCTCTCTCTCTCTCTCTCATCTATTGATTGGCCACGGGAACCCAAAAGGCAAGGATATGGAAAACGGGAAATCAAGGATTCACTCTTCCGAATACAATTATGTATATTGAATAGGCGGTGGTCATGTAAGCCTCCAATCGAAGCAGTCTCTCCCTCAATTGGCAATGAGAAATGATCCAGAAATGGAAAAGATGGAGATGGAGTGAAAGGTACAATCGATTTATCAGAAAGCCAAGGGGTTCAAACCTAGAGAGGAAGCAATGGTGGAAGGATCGGGAATGACTTTTTGAGAGAAAGACGGAGAGGCGGCTATCGATGTTTGTACCGTCGAGGAGGGCTCTGGAAAGAGCGGTAGAGGGTAGAAGAAGTTCTGAATCCTTTGACGGACACCGGAGATGAAGGAATAAAGTTGGATTTGAAGTGGTGCAAGGTAATTGGATGGGGGAGGCGGTGAAGAGATGAGGATGCATAGAAGAGGAACACGTATCTTGCCGATTAAATCAGAAAGCTGAGGCAGAACAACACGTGGCCCTAACAATATAAATATTGACACAAAAGGACCCAAAACATAAAATAGACAGAAGTGAACACAGTAACATAAACGGATGACCATTTCTGCCAAAAGACCACGTACTTCACTATTCCTAAGCTTTGTCCTATATATATATATATATATATATATATATATATATATATATATATATATAATCTCTTCTCTCTTCATAATAAAAGACTCTCTAAGGCGCCACATGTCCCCCTTATATACCTCCTTCAATCCACGTGTCATTTTTTTACATATGCACTGATTTCTTTTCCCGCCCACAACATTGAATAACGAAATCAAATAAAATCAGCATAGTACTTGGATTGCATTTGATTTCCTTAAAATCAGCATTCAAAATCAAAGATTATCAATGTAATCCCAATAAATCATGAATTATCTTCTTTCATGTTTGAATTGGATAGCATAGTCAATTGATTTCATATAAACCTCAATCGACATCGATTTCAAGAGTATTCCCGTTGATTCATCTCTCCTGTTCCCAATTTCCGAGTCATTGAGCTTTATTTGGTATGTTTTTAATTATTTTTTCAATTTCTCCATTCAGTATTTTGATCGCCCTCCTTCCCTCAGTGTAATCGAGAACGACCTAATACATAAATGAGTATCCATTTCTTTAACTTTGACTATGATATGAAGTGTACCTGTGGTACTGCGCCTTTTTCTTACTACTTCACCATCGCAACACTTTCTCCATCGGTCAAAGCAGTAGCGACGCATCTCCTCCTATCTACTAGAGTTTCATATTGGATGTGTTTGTCGAAAATTAGAAAGACAGGGGGAAAATTAGAAAGACAGGGGGAGCTAAGTCAACGTCGGTGATAGTTAGTAGGGAAAGGTCGTCTGGTAATAACTCCTTCTTTTTCCTTTGGTGTTCTTTGAAAACCATTGTAGGGTTCATGATCTTTTAGCAATTCAATTGATTTGTCTATTTTCTTGATGTATGTTTTGGTCGGCCTTCCCCTACTAACGATCTCCGATGTTGATTTAGCAGCCCCTACCTCTCTAATTTTCGACAAAAATCAAGATTCAACCAAGGCGTTTATGGCCGCAAGCATGGTTTGTTAGTGGTAAATTGAAACTTATAAAAAATTTCAATTAGTATTATGAACTTGTATTTTTTTCCCTATGTTTACTCGCTTATTGTTCAATCAAGGATGTTTTGATTTTCTCCTCAATCTAGGTTTAAGATTTAACGAAGGTAACTAAAAAAACTGATGGGCATTTTTTCAATTAATTGAAACTAGTTGTTACATCCCTTGAAAATATTAAGTTCAAGATTCGTCTACTACGTGTTTGTTGAAACGCTTGAGAGAAAAAATCAGTATGCTTTTACTTTGTATCGTGGATATTTCTTTTGGGGTGTTTTAAAATTCATTAAATAAGACATATAAATAATTGATTTTTTTGGAGGTTT